AGCATCAAGAGCACAAAGGAAAATATGAGGCAGTGAAAGGAGGCCGAGTATTCACCGCCAGACTGGCTAGAGATGTTTTCAAAATTTTGGGAATAATAGTTCCAGTCGGATCACGTGAGTACTATTTTCAATTCCTTGAATGCGAAGGTTATTATTTTATTAAAAATTGATTTGTGAGGGCCTAGCTACACCAGCAGGCAGTCTCCATAAGATCAAAAGACAATTTTTTTCATGACAAAATTTTATCTCTTTTTTTGCATCCGCTCAAGTATAATACGGCTTTGTTTATTCAGTAGATTTTGTCCAGTTTTCACACGGCTTTATTTTTTTACTCGATTTTGTCTAGTTTTCATCCGAGAAAAATTTTTCGGCGGCGTGGTGGGAGATTTGCCCGCCAGAGCCAACATTTTTAAAGTCGAGACAAACCATTCACAATTGTAGTGTTGGTGATGACAGAAAATGTTTCGAGAAAGACAACTTTTATGTTGGTGCGGTAGGCCAAAAAGTGTTAAAAGTTAAAGTCGTTTTACAAGGAAAGTTTAATTAAGCCTTGCGATTCAAATAACGCTACTGAGGTTTGCAGCAGAGCGAAAAAATGTCCAATTATTTGCTCTTGATACAAGTAATTAGAGAGGAACAGGGGTAAGAACAAGTATAAAGAAAGGATGTCCATATGATAATTACAATCAATAAAAAGGAATGAAAGTAGTTAACAACTAATGAAAAATCCCTATGTTTGGATCACGTGGAAGAGACGTGTTGCACTGTTTGCAATGTAATCGCTCCAAAAGACAGCGAAGAGTTATTGTAAGCATTCAAGGCTCCAATAGCAAATGAAGTTTGCTCGGGTGACTTGAAATCGCTGACAACCGCATACAAACAGGCACCTTCGAGGAACCTGAAAACACAGATCTTGAGTATATATGCAACAAGCTATTCAGCGAAATTCTTAAAGAAAATGCACCAGCCATTTAAAAAACTGAGCGATCGACAAATTAAGAAGGCAAGAGCTCATGCCAAAAGTGTCGAAGCTGGTTTCAAGGTCAACAAACTGCCAAACAACAGAGTCCAAATAGACCTAGTGAAACTTGATAATTTTCTGTCTTTTGTAGACTAACCATATTTTAAAAAGGTGTGGCCTATGGAACAAGGATTTTAAAACTTTACTCTGGTGATCGTCTTGTCCTGCCAAATGTCATCAGAATTGCTGGACAATCAATGATCATTGAACAATCTCTCAGTTAAACACTGTTGCGAAGAAGTTTTTTACCCCCTTGGAAAATCATCACTTTACAAAATTTTGCAAGCAAGAGAGCCCTCTCAAAGGCGATCCCTTCAAGGGCTAGACAACACTGCTGCAAGCGGATCGGAACGGTGTGAAACAATGCACAAGATAGTGGAGGAATTGGAAGAAGGCGGGGCAACTGCAAAGTGGTGTGAAGACGTTCGGAAGAATCTGAAGGCTGCAAAGCAATATCTGAAAACAGCGTATGGGATGCACTGTCAAGAGGATAGAAGTCCTTGCCTTGACCATTGTATGCGTGTATGCGTTTTTCTCTTAGCGATCCCCAGAGCCCCGAGTATCAAGGAAGTTGTTCCCATGAACCTCAAGCTAGCTGTGATAGTTGCGAAAGTTTGAAATCCGTGATTCAGGCAATCGGAAATGAATCTGAATCTCCTTTGATAACTTTTGACAGCACAGAGAAGAAAGAAGACCTGACACACGACCATGGTGAAGCCAGAGAGGCGATTCTTTAGTGGAAGGCGCATATAATCTGGACAAAGAAGAGAGAATAAAACAGAAGTTGCTCACGTCCCTCCGAAAAAGTGCCTCCTTCATTGTCATGCTGGGCCATCAAATTCATCCAACTAAAATACAGGGAAAGGCAGTCTGAGTGGTTTGGAAAGAGAGGAATAAACTGGCATGTCAGTTCAGTTATTACGAGGAATGCAGAGGACAACGGCCTTGAAATTATGTCATGTGTTCATCTTTTTGAAAGCTGTGCCCAAGACTGGAACACGGTTTACGCAGTTCTGGAAAACCTTCTCGGTAACATTAAACAGATCAAGCCCACCGTAAATGAAGTATTTTTGCGATCAGATGGCGCAGGTTGTTACCACAACAACAATCTAAGTGTAGCTGCCTCTAACTTTGGTTCACGCGCTGGAATCAAGGTGATGAGGTAAGATGAGAATACTTTTTGATTACAACGCGAAAACATTCTTTCAAAAACATGCAAATTCATAGCTAGATCGACTTCAGAAATTTTAAGTTAAAACTCTCTTGCTGTCTCTGTTCATTATAGTAACTTATATTTCAGAGCCGATGCAAACAATGTTGATCAAACTCTTTCAATAATACATTGCAGGAACATAATTATCCTCTCCACCCTTAAAACGTCGCATACCACCGACCCCCCTGCTGAAACCGT